ACGGTACCCCCATGCATAGGTCAATGCTGCCGCACATCCGCAAAGAAGTGCCTAGAATCTTTAAGTATATACAGTTTACATTGCTTCTAGATATCTAACTGAATAAAAATAGTCCACTTTCCACATTCCACTTTCCAATAGTCGACTCCACATGAAAAGTAACTAATTCAGTTAACAGCTTTGATTACGTGCGTGTCAGGTGTCACTGGTCGTGCCCTCACTCCCCACGATAACACCTGCGATATAAAAACGTGGATTGTTATGCGGGCTGCACTACATGCCGGCCGCAATCGATTTCTTAGACCGCCGCGAGTTTTTGTTCGTGTGGCGAATCATGCGTTGAGGGAGTTCATGCAGCTCTAGAAGGTTTGGATACCCCGTCTACGTTGAGGAACGGGTCGTATTATGCGCTCCCGTTTACAAGTCTGTATTTTTTTCGCTGCTGTGCGGCGATTATCTAGTCGCCCCACCGGACCAGCTGACACGAGCAAGCAGTCGCCCGGTAGATTTTCTAATCGCCACTGGCGACTGGGCGACCGCTAGTTTCTCACGCTGTTAGTTAATAGAATTTTCTCCACATTTCCAGACTTTTTTGTAGCATAATGTTAACAAATGAAACATTATTAGCATGAATTATTTAGGATAATGGGCAAGAAATATGTAATTGTAAAACTTAAATAATAAATAATCCCAAGCAGGGTACTCCACCTAGATTGATTCACGTTAGCATCATGGTACTACTAGTAGTAGTAAGCTAGTAGTAGCAGTATCATTGCCTATAACCCAACCAGGCTGTGTGACTAACGTCAATACACAGGTATTCTAACCCTAGCAATACCGTTTCTTGGAGCTACATTGCCTACAGAGGTTGTACTAGTACTACAGTACAGTACAGTAGGCCTAGTCGCCATCAATATTAACTAACGCAAACTTTCATTCACAAAATCCACTCAAACGACGAAAACAACCGATTTTTTTGTTTAACAATCACCTGCTAGGAGTTGTTTTCGATAGATTTAATCGCGTCGGCTGTGGTCATCTCGGCCCGGGTCTTCGCGGGATCCCATCCGGGCGTGCCGACACAACGTTCTGTCGCTGGCGCCGAAACCGCAGACGGCCGATCAGCGTTACGTCGCTTCCACCATCACGATCGTCTGCGAGCAGTAAACAATGAGTCGAAACACTATCGCACATCTAGCGGCTCAGCGCCTACGATTGTATGACCAATAGCGGGGTATACGCACAAACATACTCACCGTGAGTGAATATACACTGTAAATATTTATCGTTAGTTGCTATTTCGTGCATTAAACGCTGACTATCACAAGAGTTGAAACTTCCAATCACGTCAAGTGAACAGCGACATTCCTGAAACATCTGCGCATCGAATAGGGGGCGCCACCGACCGTGGCAAGCAGCCATCAGCAGTCGACGATCCTGTTTGCATCGTGAGAGAGTTTCTCTGTGATTCCCCATGTAGGGGTCATCGCTTCTCTTGATCGTAACACATTTGTGGATACGTCGCGCAAGTAGAGAGAATATTCCGTCGCAGTTATCGTGATCTTCAACGCAGACGATGTTGTGACGCCAGATATCGTCTGCCGTGCGTGTGTGTCGTGATTACATCACTCAGCAGGGAGTGGACGAGCAGCGAATATAGGCCTAATCAACTCGGATTTCCATCTACGCAGATAACAAGGAATACGTCCGCTACGCTGTGTGTATGTGTGCGCGCGCGCCTTTGTGTGTGTGTGTGTGTGCGTGCGTGCGTGCGTGTGTGTGTGCTTGCGTGCGCGCGTGTGTGTGCGTGTGTGCGCGCGTGCGTGCTTGCGTGCGTGTACGTGCGCGTGTGTGTGTGTGTGTGTGTGATGCACATGCGGCCCTGCACGCGATAACAGTGGTTGTTGTTATTGTTGTCGTATGTCCGTCTCCGATGATAGCGTTCTGAGTGACACGTACCGCGCATTTGTTTGCAGTGCCGGCGGCATTGTCGCCTACTTGTTCTCGGATCTTCGTGTTCATGTGTTGGCGCGGTGGATTCTGCAATCGTACCAGGAAGAGCTCGTCGTTACACGTGTACAGTGTACGTATGTGACGTTAGTAGCGTAGCTTTCCGCTTATATTCATTGCGTGATTTTCACTGTCTGGGGGATTATGTATGGGGCGTACGCAGCGTAGTGCAGAGAGACAGCATCCGTTAGGCTTTTCTTTTTTCCAGTGAGGAGTTGTTTACCGCAGATGGGAGAGTTATTAGTGGTGCAATAAGATTTATTATACATTATTTTTATTTTTACTGATTTGTTGGAACTGCCAGTGGTAGATTACAGTGTGCAGCTTGTGTATATCTCTGGTGATACATACATCATGTCCACGTATTGACTGTTATTAGCTCATGTGACATAGTCAGATGCAGCTTGTAGAATCGCATGAGCGTGCGTCCGTCAACAGTTGGGCACAAATCTAAACGGCTCGACGTACGGTCACGATATTCGGAACGTGGGGGGGTATTCCGAAAACGAGTTGGGATGTCGAAGCTGGGGTCAAAGGTCAAAGGTCAAGAGGTGTAAAAAAAAGGGGAACATTCCCTCCTTAACTTAAGGTATAGGGAGGAAATGCAGAATTGCGGCACAAATCTAAACGGCTCAACCTAGGCTCGTGATAGTCGGTGTATAGCATCATGGTAGGAAAAGCCATCACTGCCTAAATTGGAGGTCACAGGTCAAAGGGCAGTGGGGGAAAGGTCAGATATCAGACATTTCCTGAGGACGTGGCCTAACGGACAGAGTGAAAAACTTTTTCGTTTCAGCACTGACCTACCATTTTTATAAATTTATTAAAAGAACCATGAAATGTGCTTTCCACTGACATGCGAAGAGTAAGTGTCTGATAACCTTTTGACCCCAAGAGGAGGGTTAAACATGGATTCCTGAACTGCCTCAATGATGTCACAGTGTTCTCATATTCATGGCACATCCATAATCTGGAAAGCCAATATGCCTCGATAGCCGAACGGCTACAGCATAGGATTCTAGCTCAAAGGTCATTGGATCGAATCCCATCAGATTTTTTATTATTTACCTGTTTTCTGTATTTTTCTAACTTTATCCATTTAACTATTTCTTTCCAATTAAGGTAAAATATTGACATGATTTTTTTACAACAATTTCATAACAACAAATAATTTTTACAACAATTAAATAAAAATAATAATAAATAGGGTTAGGGTTAGGGTTAGGGTCACAATGCACCATAAAACAGGAGTTTCAGGCATGCGATTTGTATCAACCAATGGGATTTGGGAGGTATGCAGAATGCAGAAGGTTGCTGAAATGATGTGTACGCAACTGCGTATCTGCATATCTGCTCCTAACAAAGGTGTCACTACGCAAGACTTAAATGTTACGTTTATATTTATAACCGTAGCAACAGACCTCAGATGAGCCCAGACGCTCTGCGGCTCTTGTATTGGTATAATCTACTGTAGTTGGGGAAAATTCTCATGCTTTCCCTAAATTTGGTAGATTCTGCCATGCTTGGACACTGGCGGTGAGAAAGTTGTATGCGCATATTCAGGGTGCGAAATTAACGGGAGTCCGGAGTCAAATACTCCCTGATTTACTGTCGGACTCCCTGATTTGACATATATGCAGGAGTCCGTGTGACTCCCTGAAAATTTTGCCATACTAACTAGTTCGTTCTGGAGCATGGCCTCGCGGAATTACTGTATTTTTTCAGCTAATGTCCAAAGATAATTTGGCAGACGTGTAACTGCATGAATCTTAAAAATAAGCACATGCGTTACTGTTAATATCTTTAATTTTGAACTTCAGACTGCGGACTCCCTTATTTTGGTGCGGACTCCCTCTGTTTGAGGGTAGCCCGGAGTCCGTTGGACTCTCTTGTTCAAAAGCTAATTTCTACCTCTGCATATTCATATCAGTGGCGTATCCAGAAATGGATGCACAGGGGGGTGATATGTACATGGGCTGCCTAATTAAGGGGGGCTGCTTAAATAAAAATATTTAAGCCATTTTCCTGCAATCTAAAGCAAAATGTGGGCCATATTCTGATGTCTGATGACACTATCTGAACCCTAAACTCAAACGCACAATTTAGGATTTAACACACTTCATTTTTTTTCTGGGCCTGCTAACGGGGGTGGGGGGGGGGCGTACGCCGACTCCGCCCTATGCTGGATACACCACTGCATATTGTTTTAAGTAAAGTACCATCATTAAATAATTGATATTATTATCATCATTATTATAAAAAATATCTAAAATATTGCATATTTAACTAAAATCCAGTTGCATGTACTGAAACTAGTCTGTATGGAGAAAAAATCTGATGTATGCAATACTGTTTCAAATACATCATTTAAAAAAGAATGACCATGGTATGAGAGTACATTCGTGCTCTATACTGTGCTTGTTTGTTTTGTAAATTGTAGATGCAAAACTGGATAGATTAGTGAATTGAGATATTGTTACTTTATATCTGAAACCTTCAACACAGGAAAAAGATCAGATCATGAGACAGAGTGACTTCACTGTGCTGTAGAACCTTCGTTCATACGTCATCTTTTAATTATCATTATCATCCTAACCCTTATCTAAATAGTAATAATAATGGATTTTGGCGTGGGTTCATGTAGACTTGACCCGTAATGTGCATTGAAAATGTTGTTGCCTCTATAGCTCAGTGGAAAATTTTACATGTTACTTGTACAACTACAAGTAAAGACGTACTATGAGTCTATGACTTTTATCTATGATGACAGTGCATACATGAGGGGCGGGATTAGGCAAGGTATATGGTTAGGTTAGGATAAGGTTAGGGTTAATTATTATTTATGATTATGATTCGGAAAGGCTAGGGTTATAGTTATGCTCAGGAGTTAAAATAACAAATGTCAAAATATCAAATGTCAATGTCATATCATGTCAAATAACCCCCGTTATGATGTAGGCCTATGTAGCTGTGAGGGGTCTTAAACTAGTATTGAACTGATCTGCTTTCATATGAGAGCTATCATCTTGATTTAACAGATATAGATATGAGTATATTTGTGTCTTTTATATATTGTTGCATTAGCGTGCAATGAGTGCATATATCTCGTATCTCTGTATCACGATTCACAGTTAGGTTTGTCTTTGCAAAGTATATGGACACTCTGATATATGTGAGTGAAGTGACTTGACAAAAATTGTCCTTCCGCTATCGCTTAAATCTGTGTTTGATTAAGCATTATGTCATTTTGCTATCTCTTCTGGTTTTCGAGATCATGCATTTGAAAACATTTTGGACTTCTGTAAAAAGAATGTTAGATTAAACTAGGCGTCGAAAGACTGTAAGTAAATTTGAAAGTGTGGAAACGTGTTATAACGAAACTCTATCGGAACTCTATCAGTCCTCAATGTTATCTGCTGTCATAAATAGCTTCCCCTGCCGTGCGTGCCGCCCAGACCTCTTTGCCTTGCTCGCTATTATCTGCATAAACAGGGTTCATTGTTGATTCTTTCGATAAAATGAGGTTAAAGTATTCAGCTTATTGATCTGTAGTCAAGCAAGACTGCGATAGTGGGGTTTTCCGTTCTCCGCCCATGAACTGGGGCAATGCATTTGCTGGCGAGCGACGCGTGTGCAACGAGATATGATTTTTTCGCTCTCAAACATTTTTTCTGAATGTTAAATACGTTGCGCATCGAGTGAGAACGGCGCGGCTGCTGCTGCTGCTGTCGCTGTCGCTCCCTGTGTCGCCGCTAATTGCCGTGTTTGTGAGTGACATTGCTGTAATGATGGCAGGCAGACTTAGTAGTAGGGGACCAGGGGTGCGATAATTCATCGATATATCAATGTATTTGAACCGTGTCGATACAGGTGTCGATACGCTTGATTATTCACGATACGCGTATCGATACTTTACTGACAAAAATCTGTGTCATTTAGTAGTATATAGTTTCCTCCAAAAATCAAATATATAAATTACATAATTCACAAAAGTCAATTGCATAGCCATTGTTTACCACGATACTGATTTGTAAGCGTTCGCATGGTTGGTATAATTTGGTAGGTAGTATCTCTTGCATGTATCACGACGTTTTTTCTCATCATCGTCACCACAAAATACTAGCTGTTGCATTTCCTAAATAAAAAAGGCTCACGAACCGAGGTTTACTATTGTATAATGAACAACAAATTCACTCCTGTTCAGTGCAGGCTGCCACGTTGGTGTTTAAAACAGTTTTACACTTGCTTCAGGGAAGTAATTGGCGCCATCTATTAGGCACGTTTTTAAAACACATGTTACAATAATCTATACGTATCGTGTCGTGAAGGCTGTATCGTGCTACCGATCGTATCGTAGGCTACCCGTGTCGTCCCACCCTCACTTATTACAAGGTGCAAAATTAACGGGAGTCCGGAGTCAAATAATCCCTGATTTACTGTCCGACTCCCTGATTTGACATATATGCAGGAGTCGGTGTGACTCCCTGAAAATTCTGCCATACTAACTAGTTCGTTCAGGAGCACGGCCTCGCGGAATTAAAAAGAAATTATATATTTTTTCAGCTAATGTCCAAAGAAAATTTGACAGACATGCAACCGCATGAATCTTAAAAATAAGCATGTGTTATTGTTTTAATATCTTTAATTTTGAACCCCAGACTGCGGAATCCCTCATTTTGCTGCGGACTCCATCTTTTTGAGGGTCGGGAGTCCGTTGGACTCCTGTGTTCAAAAGTTAATTTCTACTAGTGTTGTCAATCGGTTGTAATTTCGTAATCGATCATCGGTTGGACCCAAGTAACCGATGATCGGTTACAATCGGTTACTCGGGGTTTTGAATGCCTGCGTGTGCGTAACGTCGTGTGCATGTACGTGTGTGCATGTATGTGATTGTTTAGCCCTGTTTACTGTTTGTTTTGCACTGTTTACTACTGTGTGTATAATACATGTACTGATTCTCATGACTTTTCCAAGTTTTTTTTTTTCGATTAAATCGATTATGGATTTTGATAACCAAGCGCTTGGTTCGAGCCACTGTTCAACCGATGTTCGAGTATAATCGATGATCGTGACATCACTAATTTCTACCCCTGCTTATTAGGTGTTTCAGCTTTCTCTTCTTTCGTAAGATGGCAGAATTGATTTTCTCAGTCGAGTTTTTGTTCTCTTACAGGTGCCCGTGAAATGAGCACAGAGTGACAGAGAGGACTGCCAGCCTAGCGTCAGTGAATCTTGAATCGCCGTGAATCGGATTAGTGACGATCGTGTCTGTCTGTGCGAGACCGAACACAGCGGACGAGCGCGATGGAGCAAACGTGTCGATAACCTCAATCGAAAGCCGAGAAGACATCTGCCGCCAGGTGGCGCTCTCGACACGGACATCCTTGCCGCGGTTTCGGAACGCGGACCTCTCCACGCGGGACGCCGTCCGCGTCCGTCGTCGTGGCAACAGTAGTCGTCTCTGCCGAGAAGCTGCGGAGCGCGGGGATGCGGCCCAGTGGCCGCACCACGCCAGTGTGAGCAGCAGCAGGAGGAGTCGGAAGGAAGAGGAGGACAAGATGGCCGACCAGCAGCAGCAGCAGCAGCAGGCGTTCAGCCTGAAGCAGCAGCAGCAGCTGCAGCAGCACATGCTGCTGCAGCAGTTCGAGGCTCACCGCGCAGAGCTGGCGAAGGCGCACGAGGCTGAGCTCGCAGAGACGCTACAGACGCAGCAACAGCTGCTCCTCGCGCAGGAAGCCAACTTCTTCGAGCAGCAGCAGAAGCTGGCGGAGGAGAAGCGCCGCGTCGAGGCCGAGGAGGAGAAGCTGGAGCGCATCAAGCACAAGGGCAAGCACGAGCAGTCAGCGGTCGCCTCCAGCGAGGTCAAGCAACGGCTCCAGGAATTCGTGCTCAGCAAGCGACAGCGCGACATGAGCCACAGCCAGTCGGCGCTGCGCAGCTGGGCGCACGATGCGGCGGCGGCGGGGGGCGACACCACGGGCGGCGGAGGCGGCGGGGGGCACCACATGGGGCTGTCGCCGCCGTACAAGCACCCACTGCTTGGCCGCTACGACAGCGACTTCCCGCTGCGCAAGACGGCGTCCGAGCCGAACCTGAAGGTGCGCTCGATCCTCAAGCACAAGGTGATCGAGCGCCGCAACAGCCCGCTGCTGACGCGCCGCAAGGCCATGGCGCCGACGAAACGCAAAGCGCAGCTGGCATTGGACGCCGACGGCGCGGCGAGCGTCGACTCGGAGCCGAGCTCGCCCGTCCAGAACAGCGATATGCGCGCCTCACCCAGCAGCGTCTGCTCACTAGAGGGCGACACCGGCGGCGGCGGCGGCGGGGCATACGTCGGGCGGCTCCCGCTCGACGTGATGCGCAGCATGGGTGTGAAGCAGACGCAGATCAACGACGCGCTGTACGCATCGCCGTCGCTCCCCAACATCTCGCTCGGCCGTCCGCATTCGTCGACGTCGCCGTGCGGGGGCGCCACCGGCGGCGGCGAGGCCGACACGGAAGCGGACGTGCGCGCGATGGCAGCGGCGCGCTACGGCATGCCGCTCACGTCGCACGTGCTTCCCGGCGCGTGGCCCTACTACCCGCCGTCGATGCCACTCATTGAAGGCGAGACGACATCACCCCCGACATCGCCCGCCACGTACTCGCCGCTCAGCCCGCCGCTGATCGTGGACGCGGCGCTCACGCGGCAGGCGCGTCTCCAGCGCTCCGGCCTCAAGCCGCTGTCACGCACACATTCCGCGCCGCTGCCGCTGCAGCACCCGCTGCTTCAGCAGCAGCAGGACCTGCTGCTGCAGCGTGAGCACTACTTGCAGGAGAAGGCCTACTACGACCAGCAGCAGCTGCTGAAGCGGCAGCAGATACGCCAGGCAATCCTCTCACGCTGCAACGCCAAGAAGGCAGCGGAAGCGGACGACGACTGCTCCGCCGTGGGGCGCCACGAGCGCCAGAACGACACCATCCACGAGGAGGTGGAGTCGATGAGCGTCGACCGCGGCAGCGTAGATGGCGCCACGTTCGCGAGCGCCGCGGGCGACGTGCTCAACTTTGCGTACGACCTCGCGTCGGTCGGCCCGCCGATCCCGAAGCCGGTCACGCGCGCTTTCTCGAGCCCGCTCGCCGCGTTCAACACGTCCATCGCCGAGGAGGCGCCGCCGCCGCCGCAGTACCGCTTTACGACGGGACTCACGTACGACAGCCTGATGCTGAAGCACCAGTGCACGTGTGGCAACTACTCGCACCACCCGGAGCACGGTGGCCGCCTGCAGAGCATCTGGGCGCGGCTGCAGGAGACGGGGCTGGCAGCACGCTGCGAGCGCGTGCGGGCGCGCAAGGCCACCCTCGACGAGATCCAGACGTGCCACACGGAGGCGCACGCGCTCTTCTTCGGCACGAGTCCGCTCAACCGGCAGAAGATCGACCCGCATAAGCTCGCCGAGCTCCCGATCAAGAACTTTGTGATAATGCCGTGCGGCGGTCTTGGCGTCGACTCGGACACGAGCTGGAACGAGCTTCACACGGGCGCGGCTGCGCGCATGGCCGCCGGCTGCGTCATCGAACTCGCGATGCGGGTCGGCGCGAACGAGGTGCGGAACGGCTTCGCGATCGTGCGTCCGCCGGGCCACCACGCCGAGGCGCAGCAGGCGATGGGCTTCTGTTTCTTCAACAATGTCGTTATCGCGGCGCGCGCGCTCCGCTCGCGCGCGAAACTCGAGAAGGTGCTCGTGCTCGACTGGGACATCCACCACGGCAACGGCACGCAACAGATGACGTATGCCGACCCGCACGTGCTCTACATCTCGTTGCATCGCCACGACAACGGCAACTTCTTCCCGGGCACAGGCGCGCCGCACGAGGTTGGCGTCGACGACGGCGTTGGATTCAACGTGAATATCGCCTTCTCCGGCGCGCTCGCGCCGCCCATGTCCGACGCGGAGTACCTCGCCGCGTTCCGCACCGTCATCATGCCAATCGCGCGCGAGTTTGATCCTGAGGTCGTGCTCGTCTCCGGCGGGTTCGACGCGACGGCGGGCCACCCGCCGCAGCTCGGCGGCTACGAGGTTTCGGCGGCGATGTTCGGCCACCTGACTCGCGAAGTGATGACGCTCGCGCGTGGACGCGTCGTGATCGTGCTCGAGGGTGGCTACAATCTCCCGACGATATGCGACGCGGCGGAGGAGTGCGTGCGCGTGCTGCTCGGCGACGCGCCGTCGCCGCTGCGCGAGGGCGAGCTCACGCGGCCGCCGAACAACAGCTGCCAGGAAGCGCTGGCGGCGGCAATGACCGTGCAGGCGCCGCACTGGCCGTCGATCAAGCGCTGGGCGGGCACGATCGGTTTCACGCACCACGAGGCGGAGGCGTTTGAACGCGAGGAGGCCGAGACGGTGTCGGCGTTTGCGTCGCTGTCCATGGTGCAGGCCGGCGGTCACTCGCCGCTCATGCGCAGTAATGGAGCCGTGAACACGCTGCTTCTCATCCCCGAGAAACCGATGGAGGAGGACGACGTGCAGATCATCTCCAACCGCAGCGACGGCGGCAAGATGTGACATCGCCGCGAGGACGACGACGTGATCTGTCATGATGCGGGACGTCTGTCACGATGCAGGACGTCTGTCATGATGCGCGACATGATCTGTCATGCTGCAGGACGTCTGTCACGATGCAGGACGTATGTCATGATACAAACGTCTGTCACGATATGGGAGATCTGTCACGACGCGGGACGTATATGTCATGATACAGAAAGTCTGTCACGACCCGGAACGGCTGTCATGATGTGGGACGTCTATCATGATGTGGAACGTCTGTCATGATGTGGGATGTCTGTCCCAAGTTTCGTACAGTATGACGCGGGACTGCCGTCACATCGCTTAGTACAGGATGACAATCAATTGTTGTCATATTGAGGGACTGTTGTCACATCATATGTGACAGGATGAAGTGGGACTGTTGTCGTGTCCTGTGGAGCACAGGACGACACGTGACACGGCGAATGAGACGGCGACTTCCCAGCCTCGCACGCACCCCTGTGTCAGCATCATGTGATACATTTTAGAGAGATAGAGAGAGAGAGATTTCCAAGTGTTGACAGACCCGGCTGAATGCTGCAGTGACGGCGCAGTGGGCTTGTGCTTTTGATACACGATTTTCTCAGTATGTTTTTTGCCGCGCTGCCTTGATGCGGCGCCACGCCTTCCTTAACGACGGCAGGAGCGTTTGCCTCCTTCACAGACGCCTAGCAGCTGAACTGATGTAACCACACCGGTGAAAAATTATGGACGCGGCACGCGCCGTTGCCATTGGTACGGACCGAGTGTTTTCAACTACATGTACTTTATCCTGATCCGGAGAAAGAGGGAGGGGCGGAAAAGTGTGGAAGAAGACTGAGAGAGAAGTCCGGTGCTGCTTCAGTGGTCTCATCCTGACCTGTAGCTGTTATTTCTGGCTACCTCAGCAGGAATCAATTTAAGGTGAGTGTGAATGTGATAGGTAACTGTCAATGTGTTCGTGTGTGTGTGTGCATGCACGAGTGGTGTGTGCGCGTGTGTGTGTGTGTGTGTGTGTGCGTGCGTGCGTGCGTGCGTGTGTGCGCGTGTACGTGCACGTGTGGTGTGGGCGTGTGTGTGTGCGTGTGCGTTTGTCTGCGCGCACACGTGTACAGCAAGAGGGTGTGACTGACACGTACATGTAGTTACGGTTGTGAGACACGCTTGGTCAAACTGCAGACACTCACACAGGGATGAGGGATCATGCTGCGTGCAGGGATGAGGGATGCTGCGCGCATGGATGAGGGATGCTGCGTGCAGGGATGAGGGATGCTGCGTGCAGGGATGAGGGATGCTGCGCGCATGGATGAGGGATGCTGCGTGCAGGGATGAGGGATGCTGAGTGCAGGGATGAGGGATGCTGCGTGCAGGGATGAGTGATGCTGCGTGCAGGGATGAGTGATGCTGCGTGCAGGGATGAGGGATGCTGCGTGCAGGGATGAGGGATGCTGCGTGCAGGGATGAGGGATGCTGCGTGCAGGGATGAGGGATGCTGCGTGCA